AATAATAATAATAATAATAATAATACAGTACATCGGTATGGAATACAGTACATCTTCCCAAAGTTAATATTCCAGTTTAGATACCAAGCCTGATTCAATGACTAGTTTGACGCCTTAGGCTTTGCCAGTGAGTGTCGCTCAGGCCTTAGTACATAGAAAAATAACACAATAATAATTATAATAATATAATCAGGTGGGTAGCTGCGTCAGCATGCGTGGGCTGCAGAGGAACAAGTACTAGGTTTATTCCATGCTGAAAAAAAGAAGAAAGAACACAACGTTTCGGCCGTGGAAGAAGGCTCTGTGTTCTCTTTCACAATCTCACGTTGTGTTCTCTTTCTTCTTTTTTTCCAGCATGGAATAAACCTATTACTTATAATAATATAATGTTGAGCTTGTGTTTGGGGGATCAGGAGTATTTATAATATCAATATGATCAAAATCTGCTTCTGTTTTTAAAGAAAACGTTAGGTCATCACTGACATTTTTGTAATATACTGTATCATATGTATCACGGTGTCTTTTTCCGTGAACTTCTTACATTATTCGAGCACGTGTGTAAACTGCAGTAGTGTAAAATCCAAAAAAGCCACGCCCGATATTCAGTTCTGATTGGACAATTTATTATATGATTTTCTTTCTAAGGGCAGCAAATCTTTTATTTGGACGTCTTGTATACAGTATGATTAATCTCTATGTGGACAAAGTGTATCTCAAGATACAGATAATCAGTTCTGTATCCTGAACGCATTAAATATTAATTCCCCAGTTTTTATCATTTATTTTATATACATCTATTACTGCTAAAAAGAGCTATTAATTAGCAGTCATGGATCTTTACTACTGAATAATTTAGAAATGTCAGAAATCCTGCTCGGAATTGAAAAGCCCTGGATCAACTGGTAGCCAATCAAATCCTTAATTAGGAATTTTCAGCAGCTGGGAGGCACTTAAACCATTTAGTTTCAACGCCGTTTCCTTGAATGTTCAATTATATGCGCAAAAAATCTCATTTTGAAAAAAGTGCCAAGAGAACCACCGGAAGCACCCTTGTAACGAACATTAATTTTCTCCGATCAGAACAAACCAAATCGCATCGCTGTCGCTTGCGCACGAAAACCAAAAACCGTCCAAAACCTAGGAAAAGGGCGACACCTGGTGGCTAACCAGGGAAAAACCGATTAACCACTGATCAAAGTCGATTCGAGAGGCCTGTGTGTTTGACGTCACCAGTGACTCTTAGCCACTCAGGTAGAAACCGAGCTTCACATCCGCACGTGGCGAGACGCAGTCAATTACGCAAATAATTCAAACCACCTTTTCGCCGTTTTAATTAAAGTAATAATTTTCACGTGTTTAATATACAATCAAGTCTTAAATAGCAATCACCAACGACTCTACGAAGTGATTACGCTATTAAACGATTCAATTATTAGGGAATAAACGCGCTCAACTCGAAAATTAAAGTAATCGCCGCAGGCGGATAAATCACACATGCGCCTGCCCTCTAATCGTCCTCAGCCTTCAGTACAGAGCAGATACAGCATATCACGTTGGTCTAAAACCGGCTTTTATGGGGGAAAACACATCGGCAATAGAGATGAAGTATTGTCTTACTTAATTTTCAGTGGTGGAATATTATTAAAAAA